GGGGGGGAGAAACTGTTCATGGTGAGGCGAGGATGGAAGTGTGTGAGGAGAGGGTGGGGGGAGAGACTGCTCATGTTCAGAGTGAGGGGAGAGTGGGAGTGTGTAGGGAGGATGGGAGGAAACATTGTTCAAGGTAAGGGAAGGATGAGAGTGTGATGGGAGGGAGGGAGAGAAACTGTTCAAGGTGAGGAAATGGGGCAGGGGATTTGTTTTCTCTCTAAACTAGAATGGTTATGGTATAGCTTTCACCGTCAGAACAGTTATGTTGCTTTTTTTTTTCGTCGACTTGTATGTTGTGTCAAACATTGGGGAGAAACTGTTCAAGGTGTTCATCAACACAATCATTAATGCTGGTTCACTGTTGCATGCAGCTGAAGGGCAATTATGTAATTTCATATCTGTTGTCTACAGTGGTTTCACTGGCATTGAAAAGTAAAGGACACATGATTTAGTAATTTCATATCTCTCTCATCAGAAAAGCTTTTAAATGGATTTCATATAATATATTAGACCACCATATTATTGGTGAAGTAAAACTTGCAATCTTTTCCGTTTTTCGGCATTCTATTCCTGTGCTCTTTCTTCCTCAGGGTTATTCCTTCGTGGCCCCATCCGTCATTTTCTCGGAGAACTCTGTCAGTGCTGATCTGCTCCGCAAGACTGTGGACAACCAGCCCGACGACAAAGCCATTTTCACAGCTAACTTCTTCAAGGTACGGTGCTTTTTTAGGTGTGTGCTTCGTATATACTGAAGATCATCATCTGCGTAGGTGGCTCAGTGGCTCTTCAGGTATAGTGTTCACTTGTCAGCCTGAAGATCCGGAGTTTGGTCCCCACTAGTGTTTTCTTAGCATGCTGGGGTTTTTTTCTGTTGGCGTATTAAATATTCACTCCTTATTTTTACGAATAACGTGGTATAAGAAAGAAAACTATCCATTGTCTTTATGATTAGTGTCTAGTAGGATGCTACACTCATTCAAGCAAGCATTTATTTATGATACACAAGTTAATTAAATGTATTGAGAGAATTTAGCCTCTTAGCCTCAGATATTATAATGAAATTTGTCTTAAGAAGAATATTTACCTCTTTCCAGACCTCTCCCTTTTTCCACAAGTATGAGTTGGATATGAGAGGAGCTCCACTCGGGGACGGCACATACTCTATATGCAGGTGAGTTTTTTTCCTCGTAGCTCTCTTAAAGAAAAGAAAATCTCTCTTTCTCTCTCTCTCTCTATCTCTCTCTTTCTCTCTCTCTCTCTTTCTTTCTCTATCTCTCTCTCTCTCTCTCTCTCTCTCTCTCT